ATGCCCACATAAAAACCGGGGCTGGAGGACATGCCTGGCTGAGCTAGGCCATGGTACCGACCTGCAAGTCTCAGGGAAGTGGATGGACCCTGTTCATGCTGAGCTACAGCACCCACGGAAACAAGAGAACTAGATCTGGGGGCAGACTCTGTAGGGGACTTGTGGGCTCGTTTCTGTGCTTCTCTAACACCTGCCCGCTTGCTCAACAGCTGGCGGTGGTAAAGGCCAAGCCAGGCTGGACTGTGGAAATCATCTGATGCTCGCAGGAGCTCGGCCAGGCTGGCACCTGCCAGCACATGCAAAGGCCAACACTGGGAGCAAACCATGGAAAGCAGGGCTATGGCACCCATCAGCCAGAACCGGGAGCATTCTGGGAAGGGGAACTTGGAGAGCTCTTCTGCTGGGCTACCGCCCCACAGGGCAGCAGAAGATCCAGGGCTGAGGGCAGGCTAGGCTAGGTAAGGCTGCAGTAGTCCTCACCATGTGTACGGGACAGGCTGAGCCAGGATGCAGTGCCCACTGGCACATGCAAGATCCTTAACTAGAGCCAGGCCTTGTGGGGAACTATGGGCATATTCCTGCTAGGCTTTAACTCCCAGTAATGACTACAAGAGCTGGAACTGGCTGGACAAAGCTGGGCAAGGCTGCAGCAGCCATCAGCATGTATGTGGGCTAGGTATTGAAGCATGCCAGACTGGGCAAGATCCAAGCACCTGCTGCAACTCACAAGAGCTAAAATGGGGGCGGGGGGTTGGTTTAGACTGTAGCACCCGCTGGCAAGAACCAGAATGGGTACAGGCCATGTCAGGTTGGGCCATAGCAACCACACGCACTCAAAACCTGGAGCAGGGAAAGGGCATGGTAGTGGAACTTGGGGAAATCCCCTGCTAGGCCACAGCTCCCACTGCTAAGTGCAAAAGCCAGGGCTGAGGGCAAGCCAGAACAGCCAGACTGCAGCATCTGCCAGCATACATGTGGTCTAGGTTTGGGGTAGACCAAGCGGTGCCAATTCACAACATACATTGACACAAGCATGAGTCAGGAAAGAGCACAGAGCAGATCGAGTTGGGTCACAAAACCTGCTAATTCCCACAAGGGCCAGGGCTGGCACTGGGTCAGCCTGGGGTAGGCTGCTGCACCTGCCAGCAAGAGCTGGGACTGGGGAGGGGGCAGGGCAGGACAGACTGGGCTCCCGAAACTGTTGGCATGTACAAAACCTAGGGGTGGGAACAAGCCTGGTAGGGGAACTTCAGGGATGCCCTCAGCCCAGTTTCCACTGTTAAAGTGTGAGAGCTGGGTCCGGAGGTGGGCTAAGTTAGCTGTTGCCCATTGGTCATACAGGAAGTAGATGTAGGCTGGCTAGACTGTGGCTTCTGCTGATGAGCACAAGAGCCAGGGTTAGGAGCAGGTGGGAATAGACAAGGAGGTAACACCTGTCAGTATGTCTGTGGGCTGAACTAAGCCACTGCACCCGTGGATAGACATGAGAACCAGATGGGATGTGGGACAGTCTGGGCTAGGCTACAGCACACACTAATGTGTGCAAAAACCAGGAGCAGGGGATGCCTAGCTGAGGTTATTCGGGGGTCATCCCAACTAGGCCATAGCACCCACTGGTGTGCATAAGAAACGGGCCAATGGCAACCTGGGCTGGGCTGGGCTAGGCCACTGCACCCATGGCTTTGCCTGAGATGTGGTTCTGGAGTTGGAACTGACCAGGCAGCAGCCTATACGAATGAGTGCACTGGTTGGCGCAGGTGATGGAATATGTTATAACACCAACTGCAGATCACCAAACACACAAGGAAAGCCTCTAAGATGAAAAAATGCAATGGATATAACGGAAAGAAAATACTCCAAAACTATGAAAACTATTTACTCGGTGAACTACAACAGGATATTCACACCTGCAAGAGATATTAGAAGGGCAAGCGTTCGGCACAGCAGCGGACTTCACTTGTCTACACTGCGTGCCACACGCCTGGCTGGAGTCCTGGTTCCACTCTGGCTTCACCATCCTGGCGCAGCGGACAATGACTCCAGCAGCCGGGCAGCTCCACTGTATGTGCAAGACGCACACGGAACTCCAAGCTCCTGGCCTGACACTTGAGAAGTGAACCATCTGTCTCTCTCTCATTCTCTACCTTTCAAATAAATAATATGTGTCATTTTTAAAATGTTAAAACATACGAAATGGAAACATTATGGGGGGAAAGCCACTAGAAATGGAACCAGAAATGATATGCCCCAACTAAAGCAAAAAGGCGGAGGATAAAGTATGTGCACTGGCCCGTCCTATGCACAGACAGGTACAGACAAAGCACGTTATTGTGAAATCAGAACTCTTGGCTTACAAAGAATTAGCCAGATCTTTCCAGAAAGAAAATCATGTAAAAATGAAGAAATAAAATGATTTAAAACTCCCACCACTCCCCCAGAAAAAAACCAAGGTAAGTGAAAAACACCCTCTAATAGCCAAATACAGCAATATCTTCACAATTTTAATAGTAAACAACGTCTAAAATGGTTATTCCATAGCCAGCGGGACTATCATGTACACATAATATACAAAACGGGATCAGAAATTTACCTCCCACGTACTATTTGCCATGACCTTAGAGAATGTGCCACAGCAGAATGAAGTGGCAAATGACATGAGACAAGCATTATTCCAGCCCAGGTGTTAAGGCACAGAAACTCTCCAAGATGGTGGCGACGAGACACAAAGATGCTAGCACTCTACGGGGAGGAGCAGTACAAGTCACAAGGGTCCAAGAAAGCACTATTAAAGGTAAAACCAGCAGAATGAATTTAGATAGCTGAATTAATAACTCCATACAAAAGAAATACGAATTTTAAAAATTGCTAACTTCAGGGAAAATACAAACTAGTGTAGGAAATGAAAAAATAATATTCATATGTCATATACTCCTGCAGGGATTAGTATTCACAAGGAAAATAACTAATTTATGGTATGACTGCTTAGCAGGATTCACAGAAAGTACATGCACACGGCATATCACTATGTGTGCTTGTGTGAGAACACCAAATCTTGACTTTCCACAATCTGTAGAAAAGGGATTATGAACATAATCGAAAATTTAAGAAACAGCAACATAAATCTTTTATTCACATATATGAATCAGCTAAGACTGAAAGTATGTCTCAAGGGAAATGAACTAGCACATTTCTTCAGAAGCCTATAGTAATTTTGAACTTGTTTTGATTTAAAAACACAAACTTAAAAACTAAAGGATTATATACAGAGGGTTGGTGCTGTGGCATAATGAGCTAAGCTTCTGCTACAAAGCTGGCAGCCATATGGATGCCAGTTCAAGTCCTGGCTGCTCCATTTCCAATCCAGCTCTCTGTTTTTGGTCTGGAAAACCAGCAGAGGATGCCTCCCACTCTCGAGCCCTGCACCAGATCAAAGAGGCTCCTGGCTCCTGGCTTCAGATCAGCTCAGCGCTAGCCCCTGCCGCCATCTGGGGAGTGACCCAGCAGACGGAAGGTCTCTCTGGCTCGGAGGAGAGAGCAGTACTTGTACAGTGGCTGCCAGTCTGCACGTAGCTTGTGCAGCATGCACCTGAACATCACTGCTGACGCCCAAGCCTCCAGCACAGGAAGAAGCAGCGCCTCAATGCACAGAGGAATCTATCCTGCGTTGTAATGAATGAAAAGATTAACCTCACTTACAAAGCAAACAGGTCAGGAGACGAGGCCATCTCAAACAAGTCTAGTTGTGGCACTAAGTCTAATTCTCTAGTTAAAAAATGCAAAAATCATGGGCCTTAGTTCCCCAACCAGCAAAGATCTTCTAGATGTTTCTGCAAAGTCAATTTCAACTGAGGAGGGATTAGCAGGGATAGGGCTGAGCAGTGGGGCCCTGCCAAGCCTCACCCACATCCTGAAGACCTGATTCCCATATTCACTCAGCAGTCACCCTATGGTTGTGCAGCCACATCCTTCCAGCACATGAGCACAGCACGTGAGAGTCACGCGTGCACAGCAGCCCATGCCCGAGCCTTCACACCAGGACCCTGCTTCACCCAGAGGAAGCAGATGTCATTCTGGTCTGCAGCCAAACCAGAGACACATAGGGAACACCCCACCATGAGGCGTCTCCCACTCGCGTCATCTAAACAGGGCTACTCTCACAGCTGCTTTGACACCTTCGACAGAAGAGGAGGAAAGGTCACTTGAGCACCCATCATGTACGACTGCACGTCACTGAACAGGGAAGCAATTCGGCCAATTCCTTGGAGACTTTGCACAAGTTCGTTTCCAGGTTTTTCAGGTTTATAGTGCCCCCTTGTGGCTTCTCTGCCTAAACACGGGTGAATGTTTCAGTCAAAACTAGCATCTCCTGGCAAAAGCAAGACTAATTAGGAAGGAGCAAGAACAGGTGTGTCATTCAAGATATCAAAACCAAAGCCTGCAACTACAGAAGTACTTTTATAGCACTCCTGATATAATGAAGGGATTTCACAAAGTATAGTTCCCCTCAAAGACATCCATCGCAACACACCATTAAAGAGAAGTCCCTAAAGACAGTACACAGGGGGAAGCGTGTATGCATATACACACAGAGACACAAGTGCACACGCACACAGGGGAGCGCATGTATGCACACACACACACACACACACACATCCCCACACGGAAAGGATCAATTTGAGGTCATGTAGATTCAGGCATAGGAAACTCTAGAGGATGTCAGTGGAGAGCAGACAGACACCACAAAGGCAGAGATTTCAAGCTAGCAACATCAGCCACTCAGGAATTTACAATGAAGCAAAGGCAACACAGAAATTTTACAAGTTTTGAAGAGATTTAGTAAGATTCTCCTGCAGCATAAGGTGTACACGCACACCCAGGGAGTTTGCTGAGAAAGAGTCACGAGCTGCAGCATTGCCAATGCTTCAGGCCATGGCCTCGTCACTCGCAGCTCAATGTCTGCTCTCCATGTCAAGAAGCATTTTGAGAAGCAGGACACTGACCTTGGCAACAAACTGCTTATCCTTCTGGTCCAAATTAGCAGTGGGTGGTACGTAGTCTCTCCATATTCTCAGCCTGCGTTCCTTGGCAAACCTGGCAACAAACCAGAGGTGGGAGATCAGACCAAGGCCATGCCATCTGCAGCCACCAGCAGCAGGAAGCACAGCCTGACTCCTCCGTGCAACTGCAGACACACCCAGGAGAAAAACGAGACCACAGGCCCACGGAGCCTGGACAGCACAAATCCGATCATTAGCCCTCTGATTTACCCTGTGTCATCTGAATTACCGATCAATTCAAAATTAATATTCTCTTTGGAAGAGAAGATCAAGTAAGAACATATAACTAAACAAACATTTTTTAAAAGGCGCAAGTCTGCAATTTCCATTTCAATTATAAGACTGTTTTCTGATGCCACATCCTACAAACAAGCATCTACAGGATAATTGGAAAACGCACTAAATCCTTTTAGAAGTTCATCGACTAAAATAAACAACTATGCTTCCAGAAACGCCTCTTAACGCACTAAGTAAAAACTTGCTACTTCAGTTGAGAATAACGTAGACTATGTATAGATTAACAAATAAAAACAATACTGAGAAATAAAGATATGTGAGGAGTTAATGTTTCTAAAAAAAACTGTACTGGAATTTTTTGTTTTGTTAATACAGAAGCATTAAAATGAGTTTTAAAATAGGGCAGGATGTAGCAGTCCTTAGATACACAAACACTTCAACACAGGTGACTCAAACACAGCACGCACAGCAGCAGGCGACTCCTGCACCACTGCGATGGGGCCAGCATTCCTTGATCTAAGCCCGTTTTTTTTAATTATTATTATTATTCTTTTATTTTGGTGATCTTTACACAGTTGATTAGGACACAAAGGGTGAAGGCCTACAGGAAAGTGGGTAAGACCATTGTTTCCACATTAATATATTTTTTTTTCTGTATCCGGGGTAAGGGAAGAGATAAAGGGAGAAGCCCCAGGCAGCCTCCCTCCCATCCCAGGTCCCCGATTGGGGCACGCTCCGAGGGTCCTGCTCATGCAGGTTTGATAGTTCAACAGTTCCGAATTGCTGCCAGTCTCACCTGTTTTAATAAGTACTCTCCAAAGAATGCATAAAATCTACCGCTGTTAGAAAACATGGAAATAACACTTGAATTGTACTTACTTTCTTCAGACACAGGCCGGAACTTAAAGAATGCAGAAAAATATTATCAACAAAAATTTAGAATATTAAGGAACTCAACAAGACTTCCTGAACTTTAAAAACACAGAACCAAAACACCACATAATAATTAAAAGAACTGGTAACATTACATCCCCTAAGAGTGCTATTATTTTCTAGTTTAAAATGGTTTTAAAAAATTAAATACACAACCACAGTGGTTTGGAAAAACAGACAATGTACTTCTCAATCATGGCCCTGGTTGAAGATCCAGTTCTATAAAACCTGGGAGTGTTTCTGTTTCTGCTTACATGTACATGGGCTTGGAAAAGGCCCGCGAGAAGGAGCCAGCACCAGTTACCCCGTTTGGGCTGCTATTTTCAACGTGGCTGCGAAGACACGGACATGACAGGCTCCGGGGACTCAGACTTCCATTCAGCCGCTCTCGCTGCCCAAGATGTTGTCCTCCGGCAACCATGCTCAAGGGAAGAGCTCTACCTACACCTAAAAACACCCTGCCTGAATTCCTCAAACAGCCCCGGGGCACTGCGATGCTCACGTTCACTTTTGTGGAAAACCACTACTTTATTGCTTATCAAGCCAGAAACATCAAAAGAGCATCTAAGAGTAGAAAGTCAAAAATACAAACAGTAAATCTCATGTTGGTCAAACCATATGTACATACTCATCATTACAGCAATGACTCCTTGTCTGTGAGAGAGTGAAAGAAGGCACAAAAATTTGGGGAGGAAAAGAATTTGTGTCAGGCCTAGAGCATCAGGTTGGTTTAGCATCTGCAGGCTCTTGCCTTACTACCATACTCTAGCATGCCTGTTTATGAGTAACGATCAGAATCTTATCCTTCTGAAATGATTCTCATGCTTATTTCATTCCATACAAACTTAAGAGGAGGGCTTGAAAAATCCCAGCAGGAGCAGGTGCTGAGATGTGACTTGGGGTATCTGTACCAGACACCCAAGTCCCGGGTTTGACTTCTAGCACCACTCCCTAACTCCGGCCTCCTGCAGACCCCAGAAGCCTAGCCCAGGCAGGACCCGCTCCCGGCTTCCGCAAGGCCTAGCGTACTTGAAGCCCTGGGGGAGAAGCCAGCACACGGAGAGACCACTCTAGCTCTCCCTCTCTGCCTTTCAAATAGAAATCCAAAAAACATTCTAAGGCAATCAATCAATGAATACTGCCTCAGTGCAAATGTCAGCCCTTGGAACCCAGCGCTGAGTCAGCCCGAGGCTAAGGAGGAAGCTACTGCCGAACGACACCTTCACTTCTCCTGCAATTTCCCTAGTCCTTCACTAGGAGGGAAAAAAACATATACTGAGTTGGATGAGAAGATCAGATTTCCTTCTCTTCACAAGATTTTTCTGCTGGAAATTTGCTGAAGGAGCTTACCTCTCAGCTGCCCTCAGCTTTTCTGCACCTCGAGTGTAAACTGCAATCGACCAATCCACACAGCGGGCAAACCCTTCCTTCAGGAGCAGCTCCGTGATGTTGCCATTCTGCAAGCCGGGGGGTAAGAGCCAACAGGCACACGTGAGAAGCTGGGCTGGAGACCCCATTCTCCCGAACGCGACACAATTAATACTGTAGACAGCTCATTTTTGTTGTGTAGAATTATTTTATTTGAGGAGTAGGCGGAGGGCTGGCATTATGCCGCAACAGGATATGCTACCATGAGCACTGGGTCAAGGTCTGTTTCAAAGAGAGTCAGGGAGAAACAGAAAGAACAGCCTTCTGCCCCTCGTTCATTCCCCAGAGGCCCCTACGGCCTGTGCTGGCAGCCAGGAACTTCCCCGGGTCTCCACGTACACACAGGGGCCCTCCTCTGCTCCTTCCCAGGCCACTAGCAGGGAGCTGGATCAGACGGGGGCTGCTCTACTTTTGATCCAGTGCCCACTAAAATGATAGTGTCACTACTTAGGCTGCTGCCACCCCGTGAGACCCACGTGAGTTCCAGGCTCCTGACTCTGGCACGGCCCAGCCTCAATCCATGCAGCCATTTGGAGAACGAACCAGTAGCGGGGGAATCTCAATCTCTCTCTCTCTCTCTCTCTCTCTCTCTCTCTCTCTTAATCTCTCTCTCTCTGTGCCTTCCAGACAGAGAAGGAGAAGGAAGGAAAAGAAAAGTGAAATGGACAGAGAGAGGAAGATCTTCTTTTCACTGGTTCACTCCCCAAACGGCTCCAGTCAGCCAGATCCGGACGCAGCACCCACTGGGGCTGGGCCAGGCTGAAACCAGGAGCAGGAGCTTCTTCCAAGTCTCCCATGGGAGTGCGGAGACACACCAAATCCTTGGGCCATTTTCCACAGCTGTCCAAGGTGAATCAGTAAGGAACAGGATCATGGAAGCTCCAATATGGGACTTGGGCAGGACAAGCAGTAGCTTAAACTGCAGCTCTACAGCACCGTTCATTTTTGAGAAGGCACTTTCTGTCATTAAGGAACCACTGCCATGCTAGAAGGGGTCCTGATGGCCTGAGCTTCCTCTCCCACAACACCCAGTGCAGCAACTCTCCTTAGCAGCAGGACACATATTAGTGGCACTGAATGGAATTGGCATTTCAATAGCTCTTCTTGTGGACACAGAAGGACGTTAATCTTCGGTGGAGATTACACCTCCTTCTTCTCTTCCCTGAGATCAGCACTTCCTAGCTGTTTTGTACGTGGAAAGCTGAGTCGGGAATTACAGGAGCTACATTTTGTCCAATGAATGACAATTCATACTCCACTGTGACACAGCCATCTGGCAGGGCATGGCCAGACAGCACTCCTAAAAAACAGACATGACCTTGGCACACTCCAAACCGAGTTTCCCAGCCCTGCACAACTGCCAGCATGGAAAAATTAGCAGCTCAATAAGTAACAGTAGTTTAACTCTGAATCGATGTAGATTACAGTAATGGAAATCCATTTAAACTAAAGGGCCACAATACAATGCTATTTCAGGCTGAAGTTTAACCGTAACGGTACAATATGGCAAAACTCCCATCTAGCTCAATTGTGAGAAATCAATTTCCTATTGAAATCAGAGTTAGGACACAACCAGTTAAGGCCTGAAATATACTAAATAATTTTTCCATATAGATAATTTTGTCAGGGAGCAGGCACTGTGGCACAATGTGTTAAACCTCTGCCTGTGATGTTTGCCACGCCATGATGGTTACCAGTTCAAGTCCGGCTGTTTTACCTTTGATTCAGCTCCCTGTTAAGGTGCCTCACAAAGCAGAAGATGGGCTAAGCATTTCTGCCCAAGTACCTACGTATGTGCAAGACCAAGCAGAAATTCTTAGTTCCTGGCTTTCGCTCAGCATAGTCCCAGCCATTGCAGTCATTTGGGAAGCAAATCCACACGTGAAAGGTCTGTCTCTTCCTCTATAGAACTACTTTTCCTTTCTTCTTTCTCTCTCTCTTTTTCAGATTTAGTACTGAAAAGCAGACTTGATAGAGAGAGAGAAGATCTGCATCTGCTAGCTCAATCCCCAGCTGGCTGCAGCAGGCAGAGGATCCAGAAGCTTCTTCTGGGTCTGCCACGCAGGTTCAGGGTGCCAAGGCTTCGGGCTATTCTCCACTGCTTTCCCAGGCACCGAGCGGGGAGCTGGATGGGAAGTGGAGTGGTGGAGGGACGAGTCAGGAGCCATTTGAGATGCAGGTGCCACAGGCTAGAGGACGTCACTGACCCCTATAACCAGCTTTTTAAACAAATAAATAATCTTTAAAAAAAAAAAAAGAAAAATTTTGTCCTTACTAATCATCCAATATTCAGACTAGCGAACATCTAGATTAACAACTCACGAATCTCCACAACGCCCTTCTGCAAGTTGTACTTTCAGGAAGCTGCAGCCCACGATCTATGGGCAGCCTCTAGGACCCAACACTTGGAAAGCTCAGTTCCTCTTTCTCTTAGGAGCCCAATTACATTTGTGACTTATTTCTAAAGGTGACAAGTTGCATTGGCCTGTCCAGTTCTGTAATATAAACTCCTTCTCTTAATCCCCTCCCCGCCCCCATCCCCCGTCATGCAGGTGCCCAGGCACACTCACCGGATGAAGGATGGTACCCAGAATGTTCTGGTTGTGGCAGCTCTCCAGAATGATCTGAACGTCTCTCTGAAGCAGTCGCGACTCTGTGAAGAATTTGGCTTCCGCAGCAAAAGGCTCCGGGGTCTCGCTGCCATCTGCTTCCCGCCGAAACGTTGGGCACTGAAGCACAATGAGGCAGGTGAGTGAGAGGCTGCCGGGAGGCCGGGCATTCGCACTCACACTTAGCCTTCTAAATGCACACCACCACACAGCGAGACTCACGATCTATTCTATAAACACCAACAAAACTCAGCTATCACCTGAGCCTTGCTGGTAATGACAAATACAATTCACCTCATTGTGGGCAAAATGACTATTATTAGTTGAACCTGCCCAGTTACTTACAGCAAGAACAGATTTTCTCCTAGTTAGCTTTTAACTTCTACTTTTAAAATATATGTGTGTGTTTTAAACATGATATGTATGTATAAGTAACTACATTACAAGAAGGTTCAGAGTTGCTCAACCCCCTTCTTCTAGGGAAATATCCTCCAGATGGTCCATTCTAGACAACAGTGTTTTAAAAGCAAAAACAGAAAATCAAAGCTCTCTGATCCAATTAGGATTGTACTGCTGAAAGTTTTTAGTCAAAATGAGTATAAATTCCTCTGGTTGGTGTCAATAGCTCACAATAGGTAGGCAGATCCCACGTCCCCAAGCAGTAGCCACCCAACACTGAACTTTCACAACCCTCTCCCCGCCCACAGCCCAGGGCGAGCTCTGACCTTGATCCCAGACAGCATGACTGTAACCAGGTGGTAACTGGGCAGGAGCAGGGCCCTGACCACGCTGCCGTCCCGCACGTGCTCGATGATAGCTGTGGGACAGAACATTAGCAGAAGTCAGGCCAGGGAGAAACGATGCCCAGTGAAGCTTCATTCAACACAATTCCTTCCCCAAAACCCTGAGAAAGCTCTCGGGGAAACGCGGAAACACCGGCAGACCACGAGTAGCATGGAGTAGTTTCTTGCACAGATAACCCTAACCCAAATCAGTCCTGCTGCGCCGACTTCTGCACCTGCGGGACTCGAGCCACTTCGAAGCTCTGCTCTTGGGCTGGGATGTTTATCTGCGTACAAGGAGCCCAGCCAGAGTCAGCAGGGAAACAGCAACGACAAGGATTATATGGAAGCTTTAAAGTAGGGGCAGAACCTAAGTTTCTACCTCTAATTCCCCGCTTTTAGAAAACAGACACTCCCCAGGGGCGAAGTAGCAGCCATTTTACTCACCATGACAGCCACAGCATGGCCTCTACAAAGGGCGTCTTACAGAATGGGTGTGAACTGAATCCAAATACACTTCCAAAGCAACAGGGTGGTGTCTTTTTAACCCCCATTCCCCCAGGTGCAAAATAAGTTTTACAAAGACAGAAACAAACAGAAAAGCAATAGTCCACCAGATTCCACGGGTCTTCAGAAGGCCAGAGGACAGACAGAAACGCCCGGAGCCACAGCCATGTCTAACTGCGGGTCTCACCGTTGACAGGTTTCTGGTGGTGGGCGTCCACAAAGTGCCTCGGGTTCTCGATGGTGTACTTGAGGTCCCGGATGGTATGGGCACCACTGCCCTCACTCCACATCCCTTTCTTAGCCGCCTTGGCTTGTTCCTCACATTCTGCAAGCCGGCTCTGCTCAGGACTGGAATGTGAAAAAGAAACAGGTGTGACTGGTGTGTACGCAAAATCACCTGAGGCTGGTAGTGTTTTTAAAGATGTATTTATTTGAAACACAGAGTTACACTGAAAGTGAGGGTGAGAGACAGAGAGAGACAGTGAGGGAGCTATCAGCTGATCTGCTCCAACAGCAGAATGCAGACCAGGATGAAGCCAAGAGCTAGAACTTCCATGTGTGAGCACACAGGCAGAAGGCAGCCCAGTACTTGAGCCACCTTCTGCTGTTTTTCCAGCCCCACTAGCAGGGAACCTGAGCAGAAGTGGGGTGTCTACCCCAGCCTGGAACTGGCATTCAGTATGGACTCCCACTCAGTGGCCTAGCCCGCGGAGCCGTGTCACGGGCCTCTGACATGAGACTTGCACGCTTGTCCTCAGCATCATATCCCCATGCAGGGATAAAAACTTGTGCTGTCATACTAAGGCCAAGACCCAAGTCTGTAGCCAATCACCGCACATCCAATTTCTGGTTTCCAGACTTACTCCTTCAACCAACAGATTAAATTTTAAGAGCATTAAGTTTGACGATCTAAAGAGCACATATCTAGCTACTGCTATTATCAGCGATTAGAAGAGAACAGGCTTAGTGACTCAGAGGGGAGCTGCCCCAGGCAGAGACACTTCATGTATCCAGCTCACATTCGGAACTGGCATCAGCTCAGCTACGCAGGAGCAGGGTGACCTACGGGTCCCCTTATTCTCTCAGTTTATGAAGCAAGGCTAGGAAACACAGAATGCACACTGCCATCACAGCTGATTTCACCCCAAACTACTTCTGTGTTCAGGACAAATAAGGCCAACTAATCATGGGCCAAGCTGAAAACAGAAGCCTCCTCCTTCAGACAGGAAACCAAGCTACACACTAGAGCATCCAAAAAGCCATAAACCAGAACAAGTTTTACATTTGAAAGGCTGGAAATAGCTCTTTTCTCTTGTATCTGAGCTAAAGGGAGCAATGAACTAGTTGCAAAACCCTTCTGTTGTACAGTCTCTAACAGCTGGGGCCGTCAATGGGTGATTGTGTAAGTCACTTTCCTGCTCATCTTTTCTTTTCTTAAAGATACATTTTATTCATCTAAAACAGTTACAGAATCAGAGGAGTCCTCCCTCTGCTGCTTCACTCCTCATGGCCTCCACAGCCAGGATGGGGCCAGGGTCGGGCCAGGGTGAAGCCAAAACCCCTGTGCTTTTTCTAGATCTCCCACATGGTGCAGGAGCCCAGCACCTGGACCATCCTCCACTGCTTTCCCAGGCACCACAGGGGGAGCTGGGTCACTGGCGTAATACCCAACCATCTCACTGGTTGGCTTTTCCAGCAGGGATGGCCTACACTTCTTTTTCTCTTTTATTAAAAATGTATTTATTTTTACTGGGAAAAGTTGTGGAGAGAAAAACAGAGAAAGATCTTCCATCCGCTGCTTCACTCTCCAAATGGCTGCAGTGGCCAGAGCTGGGCCAGACTAAGCCAGGAGTCAGAAGCTTCTCCAGGGTCTCCCCATGGGTGCAGGGACCCAAGCACTTGGGCCTTGGTCCACTGCTTTCCCAGGCCAACAGAAGGAAGCTGGATTGGAAGTGGAACAGCGAGGACTTGAACTGATGCCCATACGGAATGCAGTGCCATACGCACAGGATTAGCCTGATCACCTGCCTGAGCCCATGACCTACACTTTTTATGTCAAAAATGTCCAGTACCTGTCCTGAAGACAAGCCCATCCTTAGAGATCCAAAATCAAGGCCAGAACTAAATGAAGAATGTAGCATGAGAGATAGAAGCAAAATACAAAACTGACAAAACTCAGAGCAGTTTGGAAGAAAAGAGATACTGAATCCCCAGGGGAGATATTCCAGTTGAGACAGTCCATACAATATTACTGTGGCATGTTGGTTTTTTTTTTTTTAACTATGACTGTTCATTCTGTTTGCAAAATGCATTCCCGGAAAACACTATAACAGTAATCATACCAGTAATTGTCCTTAAGGTAGAACTTTGACATGCCTCCAACTAGACTACATAAAACAATTAGCTTCAATCAACATAACTGCACACACCTCAATTACAGCATCGAGCAAGGATCTACGTGCAGTCAGAAAGGTTGTGGGAAGTAGATGGTGAGAGCCAGCTTCCCAGTCTGTGATCGCAGAAAAACAGCAGGTGTATTTTTTTTTGGGGTCTTTACTCACACACTTCATTGGTGTAGCTCATGTAAACATTTATCTCAAGCTTTTTCAACAACAGTCAGATAACATAACAAGGATGTAATGATTTAAACCGTATGGTTATGCCCTTTAAATTACTAACATAGCAAATCACTTATCAGAGGTTAAACTGTTCCAGTGAGCTATGGCCTCTAAATTACTAACACAGTACATCACTTCTCGGATAGCTGCAAGCCATCCTACTGAGACTCAATTCTTGTAAGCTTGAGCATGATGTACGTGTGAGAACTTTTATACACCTAACACTCTTTCCTCACAACCTTACATTGCCATTAGCTAAACTAATATGTTTTAACCTATCAATCAAACATGCACAGGGCTGTGGGACAAAACCGTCTTGAAATGCTTTTCAGAGACAAATTCACCTGACCCTCAGAGCAGCACGGAGGCCTCGCAGACGCCCCCACGAGCACCTGCTTTCCTTCTGTTTACAGGCTCTGCCTCGTCCACACAGAGCACTTTGGAATGCCAAGGGACCTGTTGGTTCGTAGTCATCCACGCCTGGGCAAGAAGCTCTCATCATTTTCACATTTGGGGGTGGGAATGAAAACGCAGTAAGGCCCGTCAGTTGATTGTCCTGCTTGCCCCACACCCCAAGGCTGTCAGTGGCACAAAGAGCAACGGGTACTCACGTGTTAGCTCTCACGCCTTCTCTGCGGGCGGCCAAACCATCTGCAACCAGCGACTCGGCAATGTTCTCCCCGTTGGTGTCTAAGGAGAATAAAAAGGGAATTCCATGCAGTAAAACTCCAATGGAACCACTTTCCACTTTTTACACCTAGCTCTTGAAGGAGAATGACAACACCGGGGAAAGCATGGCAGCGAGCACAGCATGTGTCCGGGAAACCTCCTCTCCCACACCGCAGAGGCTCTCGGCCTCGTCAGTCCATCAACCTTCTCAGGCCTTCGCAATTTCCCAGCGTGTCTCTCAGCTGAAGGCAATCCCAGGGACCAAGGGAGACTGACTAGCAAGACAAACTCAAGAGGCAGGCAGCACAGGACAGCGGGTAGCAGCTACCGCAGAAGAGAGGCCTGGAGCTGCGCTCTAACTCGGCTTCTGGAACAGCTCTGACAAAATCTCCCCGTGTTCTAAGCTGCCCTCACCCTTAGAGTGCGGAGAGCGCTTACCTGATGGGTTCTGGTGAGGAGAACACAACATCAGCTCATGTAAATCACCAACACCCGTGTAGCCTGGCAGGCACCGTCTCTCATGGGTCACTCCACCAAACCCACCTCTCGTCCACGCCGCCCTGAGCTCTGCTACGGTTCTGAGACACGGGGAACCCAGTGTCCAGGTCTCTAATCTCTCACACAGCAGCCATTCAAGGCCACAAAATCTAGTGTAAAGGTGATGAAGGCTCTAGCCAAGCACTTCAATCACTAATTGCACATCCACACTACTGAAAAGGCTTTCAAGCTCCGTGCAGGCTCTTAAATCTGTACTTGTCAGCCCAAACAGCAGAGGAAGGCATCTATGAGGAATCACCGTACAAGAGTCTTTAAAATGGCACAGAACAAGCTCTTAGAGAAACAGAAACACAGCAGAAGCTGATAGGCACTTTGAACAAAGAATAAATTCTGTAAGATTTATATTCAGTACACTGCACAGTGACTTCTGCAGGCAGCAGCAGGTACAGAAACCACTCCCAGACTCAATTTGTCTGCCTCCCCACTAGAGCAGGCCATTTCTACAGGGGCCGGTCAGGAGAAGAAAGATGCAAAGAGCAGTCCAATTCTGAGGCTGTGGACACTTCACACTGAAGACATTGCTCAGGTCAGCCAGATCACATTAGTAAAGGCGACACTGATTGGTTTCGTAGCTACAGGAACCCAAAGAGCGGCAAATCAAAAGCAAGGATTCAAAACCAAAGGACAAGATGACAGATGATGTGCCAAGAATGAAATTCAGGTTCAAACTGGTAAGTAGCCACAGAAACCAGCCAAGCGACAGTGTGCCCACGAGCTCTCAATGCTCTGTTGGCACAGAGAACTCAGAAATGGCTCAGTTGTAGAAAGTGAGTTCTGAATGAATGCTCCTTCAGAAGGAGACAACAAAATTAAAGTTAGTGGAGAAAATATTAGTGGACAGAATCTGTAGGTCAAGGTTCTCATTATGTTAGAGCCACAATTTGAAAATAGATTTTATAGCAATTAATTTTGAAAACCTCAAAAATGGGTTACAATTTCTATCAATAAAATAAAATAAATGCATGCATACTAACTATCTAAACCACTGTTGTTTGAACTGGCAATCAGGGACGGCTAAGTAAAATGAAAATTTAAAAACTCCAGCAACATCCTTCCATCACACACACATTTGGTTACGATGCTTGGAGTGGGGGCCAGCATGGTGACACAGCGAGCTAAGCCTCCATCTGTGGGCCAGATCTCATCTAGATGCCAGTGCTAGTCCCAGCTGCTCCACTTCCAATCCAGCTCCCTGTTAATGTCCCCATGAAAGCTGCAGATGGCCCAATTGCTTGGGCCCCTGCATCCATTTGAGACCCAGCTTCTGGCTTCAGCCTGGCCAAGCCCTGGTTATTGTAGCAATCTGGGAAGTGAAACAGTGGGCAGAAGATTTTCTCTCTTTACCTCTCATTCTCTATCTATATAGAGATACTTGGAGTGAAAACATTCAACAGTAGGTAATTTCAATCTTTCTTTTAGTAGATATTTATTGAATAAACTGTGGCAATTTTTGTTTTGGCATATTAGTGTTAACAAATTAAATTGTATCCGTTTATAATTTGAGTCTGTTTAAGAAACAGATGTCTTATACAACATCTTTAAGGATAATTTAAAATGTCAGCTTCCCTTATCAGCAAGTTGGCTATTTTGGCTAAAGACAAAATGAGCTCCTAGACGTGGTCTCTTCATACAAACACCTGTATCTGCAATCATTGGTGCTCTGCAATCAACTCTTGTGAGGAACAGAAGATTAACTAGTGCTGATGGAACTGAAATGCTTTAGGTAATGAAATGCTTTAGCACCTGTATTTTTAAGACAGTACAGTAACTGGTTACACTCAATAATAATGTTTAAGTACTTATTTCCTACAGGTTCTCAGAAAGTTCATGGGAATGGGTAATATCAAAAACCTAGGTGTGGATTTCATGATTTCCATAAAAATACATTAACACGGGGGAGCTAACAGTGTGACACAGAGGGCTAAGCTGCTGCTGCTTAAAGCATCAGCATCCCATGAGGGAACTGGTTCAAGTTTTAGCTGGTCCACTTTTCAATCGAGCAGAGAATGGCCCAACGTAATTATAATTGCACATGAACAAACACATACACACATTTAGCACAAAGTCTATGCCAGAGCTAGTTGTTTTACATATACTATCTTTCTAAACTGCCCAACAACTCAAAAATGAAAAACCAGGGCTTAGAGGAATACAGAATAAAATAAAGGTAGAAAACAGGAATGCCCAAATTTTTAATCAGCATCTACCTCACTTCAAAGACAATGTTGCTTGCATTCTAATACAAAATACGGAGCTGGGAAACAAACAAATCTTCCTTAAAGAGTCCCTAGAAGGAGAAGAAAGGCAGCAAGACAAATAAAGGAGAGAGAAGATGTGATAGGAAATCTATAGGAATTCAATTAGCACTCTGACCTATAAACACAGAGCCATCGCATTTCACAAGCTGATGGCCTCAATACGAGGCCTACGCTGCACTGGACTACGTGCACCCACAGCAAGCCAAGAGAGGGGCACGCAAGGGAATGCACAGGGGCCTGGGAGCATTCCAAGGCGACGAGGTATCCGAAGCACTTCTAGTTTCATACACAGCGAGTGCTCCAGACATGCCGACCAGGGTCCACAATGGTCTTCTAGCACACGAAAGCTGATCTCAGAAGGAACTAGTGAGACCCGATGCACTCTCTCCTCCTTGTAGCTCACCTTTCCCAAGGTAGATCATGCCATACTCGCGCCCCTGAGGAGTCTTGTTTTCTATCGTGAAACAGACTTCCTTTCCAATCAGCTTCTTCCGCAGAAACTCTCGAGCAGGAAAAGCCCAGGGCTGAAAGACAAAAAGCCAAATGACCACATCAGAACTGCCTGCTCCCCAACCCTGCCAGCTCGCAAGCAACTTCACACTGTTGATAATGTGAACTACTTACGGCTTCAGCGGCTTAGTCAAAACAAAACAAAAAGGATACCATGTCACCTGATCAAACAAGCACAAGCCCCCCAAAATACGCCCCGGAATTATCCAGACACTGAAACTAGCGCTTCCTGCAGTGTCTGTCCTGAGGTAGAGCTTACTTGGTTAATATTTGCTAACACTTTCATAGTATTGACCATGAGCCAGTTCCAACTCTTAGTGCGTCTATGTATCAACCCACTCCTGCTAAGAGAAGTGCAGAGGGAAGGCATCCATCAGTAACACTGAGCACCTCGATTTGTTTGCCCTTTCAGTTTGCTTTCACTGAGTGGTAAGCTAGAAGCATCAGAATAAGTTTGGGTGCTATTATTACTTGAGTGAATCCCCAGTCTTACTTCATTCCTACCACCTTTCCAGCACAGCTAGAGATGAAAAGGCATTGCCACAGTATCTCCTGCTGCTGCTCTAGCTTGAAGACTTTCTTAGACCCCACAGTTACAGCCCCTGAAAATACATGACCTTGACAAAGGATTCTTTTCACCAATTCAAGCCACAGGCACAGGGAGGGGTTACATTTTTCCACCCCACCACTTCCTAGGATGCTTTGGACAATGCCGCCCCATAACAGTGCCGTTTGTATTTCTAAATCCGGAGCTGGCTCAGCACCCCAAGTTTCCTTGGAACAACAGGAAAGGGGCAAGAGTTCAAGCAATATAAACTCAATAGGAGCTCATGTGCCAAGAGAGAATGCAAGCGCACAAGGGTGCACCCTCTCACTGGGGTCTCTTCAAGTTCTGAACTAAGGATGCATATGGGGAAGCCAAAACAGTGAGCCAGAAGCACGAAAAGGAAGCCCCTGCTAACTTTTTCCAGTTATGAAATGATTCCAGGGGCCACCAACAAGCTTTCTAAGAGAAAAACAATCCCACGATTTCCCAGAAAACAGCACTCAAAAGGAGGCAAGTCCACCAACAGCTCTGAACAGCAGTGCTGCCCCGTGCCACCTAGGAGAGCAGGTAGGTAAGGGCTCACACTCTCCCTGATGTCTCATCCTCTCTGCAAAGCATTCACATACCAAAAAGCCCACTATCCGGGGACACAGAAGTTCATCTTCTTGTTGGGACTCATTTCTACCCCCGGCTTGCTGCTTAAAATCAATCAACAAAGAATCTAATGACTGATAAATGACCTCAATGATCAGAGCAGGCCTGGTGGCTCAACACATCATACCACAGCTTACAAGGCTAGCTGGTTCAAGTCCCAGCTACTTCACTTGCAGTCCAGACCCCAGCGAACACACCAGGCAGGCATGGATGACGGGACCATGCAGTTCAGTCCCCGTGCAGAGTTCTCAGCTCCTGACTTTGACCTGTACCAGCCCAGGTTGTTAAGGGTGAGTTGGGGAGGGAGTTAGCAGATAGAGCATCAATCTCTCTCCCTAAAGAAAAAGAAAAACCTTAATTACCAGCCACATAAGGGAGACAGTGCTGAACCAGCTAACGTAATCTCCCACACTTTTATTACTTTAGTGATCCAACTATTCAAAAAATATGACTGTAGTGATGATTATGATTTAGTCCTGATCGTGCTAATAGCTGAAATTCAGTTCAGACACTGCTTTCTAAATACTTGGACAAGCTCTGACAAGACAGTCGCTCTCAAGGACACCAAGTGGTGAGCACTCACTTATCGAGGATGAGATCACAAGGAAACACCTAGTTATTCAGTGAAAATCCCCAAACCTGCCAGTCAGTCAGAAGTCCTCCAGATGCCTTCTAAGCTTGCTGAAGGAGCACCCTCGTGGCTGCTCAGCCCATGAACACTAGCTGAAAGCCACACTGAAGGCCTGAAGAGACATATTCCCAGCCCCATCAGAATGAATAATCTTCTTTTCCTGAACTACCCCTCTCAGTGTTCTATTCAGTGCTACCAAACCCAGGAAATGGACAAGATGCTAGTAAGAAGAGGGGCGATCAGACTCCCAGGCTACGCAGGGAAGGACCGCCTGCATTACTGCCCGCGGGGCTGAGGGCACTGGGGAGCAGCCTGTGGCAGCATGCACACACGGCAGCCCGGAGGGAAGCCATCAGTGCCAGCACAACTTCCAAGAACAGCCAGAGCAGAGCACAAGGCATTCCAGGAAGGAACAGGACGGCTGAACTGAAGGAACAACTGTGGCCTTTTCAAATGAGTCCCCAGAGCTTCAAGGAGAGACTCAAAATGACCTCTCCCCTTCAGAGGGCTCCCGAGCAGGAATCCTGGCAGCTCTCTCCCAGTTCAGAGCTGGGCAAGGCTGTTTTCACCTGCACCAGTGAAACAGAACTCTTTGATTATATTCTTTTGCTTGGTCAGGCAAACTCCTGAAACTCCAAGGATAAAACTGGATTCCAGCACACACGCAAAACCTTAAAGCTAGCTGCTTTTGTACTTGTGCGCAATACCTCTTTCTCGTCCAATCAGGCATACCACTGTACCACCGAGACTCCAGCTGTACCACCTCCCCACCATAGTCCTCAAAAGCTCCAGTGACCACGGTACTGTGACGTTCATTTCAGCTATTTCTGATGGAACATACACACAGAGCTTTACACACACAGCAAGAGTTCAATACATCCGTGGGAAATAAATATATAATTTCCACAGTGCCCATCAATGCAGTCTCCAGGAGCCTGGGGTAACTAGGCAACCATGGGGATTAGGCTGCAATAGGACAGTGATGGCTGGAGACACAGGAGCTGTTTTCACTGCCCAGGACTTTGGACAAAGCTAAGAATCTCTTGCAGGAAGATATCATGTGAGAAGGCAAAGAATAATGAAGTGAATGATATCTGGAACAGCAATACAAAGGAAAAAGAATGAACAATTCCATCCTTGATTCATCCTGAATGTCAAAAAAACCTGACATGCTCCAAAACAATGGAATGACAGCCAGAAAGGGCAGTGCCACAGTGCACGGTCCCCCGGGACCTGCCCCTGCCAAACTCCAGGAAGAGACGCCAGGGCCCTGTGGCTCTTCACGTTAGTCACGGTGTACCAGCTTTACGTCAGGTACACACCAGGCACAGGCACACAGCAGTGCGGGCAGGGCGGGGGGTGGGGGTTTCCTTTGAAGAGCATACAAGCTAGAAGAGAAAAACCTATCTACAGAGAATGAAATGTTGTGACAGCAATGACAGCACAAAGATGGGAGGGCAATGAAAGGAAATGTCAGGTGCGGCTTCTCAAGAGACAGGGGCTCCAAGGCCACCCAAGTAAGGAAGGAACACAGAGTGAGAGGGGGCGCCAGGAGACAAGGGCACTTCAGCTCGGCTGGGGCTCACATCCCAGAGGGATTCTGCATTCCAAAGGTTTATTTTCCAGGCTAAGGAGTTCAGACTGGTGACAGAGGTAGTAAGTATTCATTGGAACGTCTGCTGAAAACACTGAGCAAGGGAAGAGGTGAAATTGTGTTTCAGAAGGATGAGGGAGGATATGGAGAACACATCAGAGAGGAGAAGGAAGGCGAAGAGACCATCACTTAACATTCCAAGCACAGTCTCAGCTGGACAAAGAACAATGGCACCGAAATGTCAAGGACAGACAAGAGAGACTGTAAGGAGGCACAATCTCGAGGTTTTGATAAAGGCCCGAGTGGGAGGCCAGAGCCAGCCTGAGAAAAATGTCCCGTTTCCGAGTGGCATCGTGAGTTGGCATCACCAGGAGCCTGAGATACAGCAGCTCTGAAGGTGCAGCATGCTGCAGAGAAAATGGACTATAAATGAAATGAGAAATGGCTGTGGACTCGGGAAAGGTGCACTCTTCAGCCAGCAAACACCTCATGGGATTCTCTGAAGAGCAACCAGGAGAAACAATGACCCAGGCGTCCTGGGAGAGATAGATTAGCCTGACCAAAACAGTGAATGGAAGTACACTGCAATGCTGAGCAAGACCACACGGTACCTTCCAGGCAAGAGAGTTCTGGGAAGGTTACATTGTCCTCTTACAGGTGATGTATTAAAACAAGTCCCAATCGGCTTTGTGTTCCTCTGCCCTAGATTCTCACCCACAAACAGGAAATTAACACCCAACTCATCCTTCTTAGAGGTTATACTATTTCTTCCTTCAGGGGAAAGGAACTTAATCACCACCAGAAAGGATCAACACCCTTGCCTCTCAGAAACAGTCAAGTTATACAAAACACAAAACCAAGAAGAGGGGGAGAAAAGAAAACCTTTCAGATTGCTGGTTGGTCCATTTAGTTAGCTATAAAAATGCAATGCAGCATGTGGTCAAACATTGATAGGCACATTGGTAACAACAAATTACTAAGGAACCATAGCAATTTCCAAAACTAACAATGGTCAAGTACTTAAGATGCGTGCACTAAAGCACTTCACATCACCTTGGTGAAACTTCATCACACTTTGAGGTACACGCTATTATCCTATTTCCAAAACTTGGGGTCACTGATGCAGGATCAAAGAAATTATTTTAACCTACTCTGTCATTATTCCTAACTGATGGCTACTGGCAGAAATATAGCTAAATTTTTCTCTACCTCTATTATCTAATACTGCTTCGGTCTTTTTTGTTTGCTTATTGTTTAAAAAAAAAGGTGTACTTGCTTACTTGAAAGCTAAAACCAGAGCAAGAGAGCCTAAAAAAATTAAACAAACAAATAAATGAGGGAGAAAAACAAAAACAAACAAACAAGCAAAACAGAAGAGTGAGAGCCAGAGTGAAAGAGAGGTGTCTCCATCTGTTGGTGTCCGCCCCCCCCTCCCGTGAGCTAAGAGCAAGGCTGGGCCAGGCTGAAGCAGAAGCCAGGAGTCTCCTTCGGACAGGAAGTGCAGTAGGAGAGCCATCATCTGCAGGCTTTCCCGACACTGGACTAGAGAGCAGTGGCCAGGACTTTAAACTGGCACTCCAAGAGAGGAAGCATCGCTGCTCGACCTGTTGTGCCCAAACACCAGGCCTGGATGTCTTAAGTCTACCAAAACAGCCTGTTACAGATTTAAAAACTAAACACTTTCCTTGATAAGATAGCTCTAGGAGCTCACATTTTCCCTCCTTCCCTCCCTGGCAAGGAACAGCAGACAAGAGCTGCAGGCCAACTTGCCCAACGTCTACAACTTTGAGCAGAGGACCAACATCCCAGAATAAAGACACTTTCCCTGATGGCCACAGCACAACGGGAAAGCCTCACACCAGGACCCCCAAGTGTAAAAGCCACAGGTGTCAAGCAGACTAAAGCCACAGTTTTCCTGATACCCCCAAACTGGCGTTCCTGTGCGGGAGCAGTGGCCCCACACAGAAGCTTCCAGCATTCAAGGATGCATCACGCTGGTCAGCACTTACTGGTTACGGGCTGGCAAGGTAAGGAACAGCTGGTGGAACAAAAGTGCAAAAGCACTTCCACGTGTCACTGGAACAGGCAGTAGCAAGACACAAGTCACCTGAGAATCTCATAAAAAACTCCCTTCTGTAAAGAATCCTGAAAGCGCAAAAAGCTCCTACATCATGGGGTTCACAGATGCCTTTCGGGGTCATGGATCCCAGATGAAAACTCGTCAATCAAGTGCAGGTCTAGCATTTACGGGATGCCACCACTGATGAAAATGAACGCACCTGCTCACACAGGCATTACAAATCTCCAGGAGGACATCAAGAGATGAGCTGGGGAGAGAACATCACATTTCACTTACATCCAAGGTTCTGAGGAACTAAAAAATAAAGTAATAAAGGAGCTCTGCCTCAGCCAATAGCACTCCCTAGCAAGGCACACACCTACTTCACGTGACGCAGCAGAGCCAGGACCCATGAGCCAAGGGCATGGCTACAGGCCCTGCCACAACATAACACACGAGCAGATGCAAGCCAAAGTGGAGAAACCCAGAGTCATCAGTCCTACAACATGTTTGGAAAAAATAACAGAAAAGACCACGTCACAGTTGCATCAGGCAAGGAACAGAAGGGTCTGCGACTTGGTCCACAGCCTCTGAAAGGCTCCAGAAGCGCCTTACCTCATCTGGGGTATCTTTCCCGTCGGGCTGTGTGGCAGCTGCCCGACGGGCGAGGTTTCCAGCACGAATGTTGCTGAGGTTGATCTGCCTCTCGGGAGGCGGCCCACCACGTGGCTGCCCTCGGACGATGATAGCACACCCGGAGAGAACCTAAGCAAGGGAAAAAGAGAGAAAATGAGTAGTCCTAACAGAATACCACAAAAATATAGTTTGTTCACATCCGTACCCCAGCATGCCAAGCATTCCCTGGAACCTCAGAGACACTCAATCTGCTAAAAGACTAAAAAGAAACAAAACTGTTCTTAAGCCAGATCTACCACCAGTCAGCAGGTATATGGGCTGGACAGTGGGGCTGGCTGTGCTGAACTGGGCTTCAATGCCCATCGACATGCACGAGAGCTGAATGGGATGTGTGGGGACAGACTGGATCATTCTGCTGTACATACTGGCAAGCAGGGAACCAGGGCAGTGGGCGGGCCTGCTGAGGATTACTGAGAGTTGCCCCAACTGGGCTGCGGCTCCCACTGGTTTACATGGCCAAGTGTATGGTGGGCAGGATTGGGCTGGACTGCAACACTCATTGGTTTATGTAGAAGATGGGGCTGGAAACAGAACTGACCCAGCAATTGCAACCACCAGCATGTACCTAGGCTGTTAGGAGCAACAGACTCTGCCAGACCCTGACTGGCAAGCACACACAGAATAAGGTCTGGGATCACTTCAGATGAAGTTTCTTTGGGGACCCCCCCCCAATGGAACTGCTTGGCTCAGAACCCCAACCACAAAGAGAAGTGCAGGCTCCATTGTTTGACTGTGGAGTGCATGTGTCAGAGCCAAGCCTCCTGAGAGGCTCAGATGGAGCAGTGGACAGCATATCCAGGTGCACATGGAGGATATGGCAGTCCATTGGAACATACAGAGGACACCTGCTACCACAGCAGAGGACAGAGGACAGAACAAATCAATCATCTACCCCAGCCATGTGTTGGCAGTGAGTCTTCTGGGCAAACGGAGACTCGAAGGTGGACCATGTCAGCCAGTGTATACTGAAGAGATTTCATCGTACTTGGAATGGCGAGGTTGGCAGCAATTCAGAACTGTTGGACTATCAAAACCACTTGAGCAGTGCCCTCGGAGCATGCCCCACATGGGGACCCTGGGATGGGTGGGAGGCTGGGTGTGGCTTCTCCCTTTGTCTCACCCCTTCCCCCAGATACAGAAAGGAAAAAAGAGAATGTGGAAACAATGGTCTTACCCACTTTCCTGTAGCCCTTCACCCTTTGAGCCCTAACCAACTATGTAAAGATCACCAAAATTTTTAAAAATTAAAAAAAAAATAACCCCATGAACCCTTAGGCCAGATTCTGAAATGAGAAACACAAAAATACAAATAAGAATTAACCAAACAAAAACACTGACATGAACAGTCTGTGGTGGAAAGGCATAGAAGCCTGACAGCTTGTTCCAGCACACCACTGCTGCTTCGCTGTTAGGAAGGCAACATTCCCTAAACACTTGCCAACCCAAGACAAAACATAAGAATGAGAGGAGGCAGCAGGAAGAACTGAGCAGAAAATGACACTCCACTAGGGTCATACTGTATGATTACAACAGAAGAGTCTACTAAGCACCCTAAGGTTCCTCAGCGATTCTAACCCAGGAGACCAGGCCAGTGGCGACTGTGAAAAGAGTTCCTAAATTCACTGACTTTGACATGTCTGCAAGTGAGAAGGGATTTCAAATAGAGAAAAAAACAATGCAAGTTATTCTAACAGATCTTGGTCACTGAGGAAGCAAGTGGGCTCAAGTGGCGAATTCACTACAAGTGACTCAACGTGGCCACTCCATGGCTAATAGACAGAAAGTTAGGGGTTCATTAGTGCAGAATACTACAGGACAAACAGCAGGGGGTATGGCCTGTAAGTGCCAGGATCCCATTTGGGCACCTGTTTGTGTGCCAGCTGCTCCATTTCCCACCCAGCTCCTGCTTGTGGCCTGGGAAGACAGTGGAAGACGACGCAAAGCCTTGGGACCCTGCACCCGTGTGGGAGACCCAGAGGAGGCTCCTGGCTCCTGGCTCCGGATCAGCTCAGTTCCAGTTTCACTTGAAGAGTGTATGGAAGATCTTTCTGCCTCTCCTCTCTGTAAATCTGCCCTCCCGATAAAAATAAACACACACAATCTTAAAAATTAAAAATAATAATAATAATAATAAGGGCCCGAGAGGTAGTCTACTGGTTAAAGTCCTCACCTTGCACTTGCCTGGCTCCCATATGAGCTCCAGTTCTAATCCCAGTGGCCCCACTCCCCATCCAGCTTCCTGCTTGTAGCCTGGGAAAGTAATCAAGGACAGCCTAAAGCCTTGGGACCCTGCACCCACGTGGGGAGACCCAGAAGAGGCTCCAGGCTCTTGGCTTCAGATCGGCTCAGCTCCAGCCATGAGGTCACTGACAAGTTAATCAGCACACAGAAGATCCTCTCTGTTTCTCCTCCTCTCTGTGTATCTGCCTTTCCAATAAAAATTTTAAAACTTAAAAATACAGAAATAAAATCTCAGAAAGAAAAAACACCACGGGGTTCTCTGGAATTGAAAGAAACAGTTTTAAAGCAAGACAGGAGGGCTAAGCAGGCAATCAATTCCTGTATACAATTTCGTAGGTGATGTCTGTCCGGGACCTATCTACCTTCACTCACACTTTAAACTGTGAACTGAGAATCCATTTAAATCTGCACCGCAAGGAGAGGGTCTCTGCACGGTGGTGAAGGTGCTGCTTAGGCCACCAGCAGCACAGCTCAGTGCACCTGGCTTAGGATGCAGCTTCTTCCAACGTACACCCCAGGAAGCAGCAAGCGCTGCTCAAGCACTTGGGTCCCCACCGCCCAAACGGGAGACTTAGATAAGGTCCCTGACTGCCACCTCTGGTCTAGCTTACCATGAGCTTTGGGCATTTAGGGAATAAACCAGGAGATGGGAGTTCTCTCTCCAAGTGTGTGTCTGTCTCTCTGCCCTTCAAGTAAAGATGAAAATAATTTAAAAAAAAAAATCTTAAAAGGAAAAAGTTCAGAGAGCCAATGCTAGCATTCCACAGAGTACTGGTTAGAATCCTGGCTACTCCCCTTCCCATACAGCTTCCTGCTAAAATACCTAGGAATACAACGGAAGATCAACCAAGGGCTTAGGCCTCTGCCCCCGTGGGAGACCCCGACAGAGTTCGAGGCTCAGCATAGCCCAGCCCCTCTTGCAGTCATCTGGACAGTGAACTCGCTGGTGAAAGACGCCTCTCTCTGCTAACTCTACCTTTCAGATAAATAAGCAAAATTTAAATAAATAAAATCCAAGGAGAAATACCTTATAGGGGAAAAATACTGAATATTTCCAAGTGAGACATAAAAAAGACAAAGGGCCTATATAATCAGATCCCTTACATCTCCCATGGCACCCGAAGAAGCCATTTTCTGCTTCTAAAAGATAAGACATCCGAAGACATCTGACACAACAGGCTCCTGGGGAACGAAGCAGTGGATGGAGGGGATTGTCTCTTTCAAATTACGTGGAAAATTAAGGGGACATGTCATCTAACTTGACCAGCAATAACCATCAGTTGACTCATTCAATTATTAATTCAGCAATTAAAAAAAAGGAAAACCAAAAACACACTAAAACTCCTCTTGGGAAACTTATATTCCACTGAAGGATAACAAACTCAGTAACATATCATTTATCAGAATTTTAACTTCAAAACATCAAATTGATAATGGATAATTGCTGTCAAAGCTGCACTGATTCCTGCTGCAAGTTTTCACAGATGCAGTCATGATCCTTACCTACTAATTTATTGGACACAGAAAGCAAATCATGTTTACTGCTTTATTCAATTAGATTAATAAAAAGACATTCTTAGAAAACCATCTTAGACTATCTGATCCAGCAAGAGGTTTGTGAGACCAGCTGTCACAGTGTGTCTGAGGTTATGGATGAATGTTTTTCAGCTCTGCCAATTGAGGCTTCAGAAGGATGGGATGTGATGCCAAGACCCCAACTGCAGGGCACAGGCACAAGTCAGATGAACACAGAAGTGAACACAATGCAGTTGCAAAGAAAATGGAGACTGCAGCTGTTCCTCCTAGTCACAGCTCTGCCAGGAGACTGACCTGCAGTACAGGCAGCAGTAAAATGTTGCCCAGCAACAGGAACACCACATTCACTCTTCCGTAGATTCTAGAAAATGACTTGCTATATTTAACTCCTTTAGCCCCCAGACCACTGAAAAAAGAGAAAACTTGGGACCAACATTGGTTAAGCCACCCAAGCTGCCCACTTCCATCCAATTCCTGCTAATGCTCCTTGGACAGCAGCGGAGGGTGACTAACTGCTTGGTGCCTTATCACCGCTGCTGATTCACAACAAAAAAAGAATGAAGTTCAAATTTCATTTTTCAAAAATAACATTTTATTGGGACATACCAAGTTTGCTCACTTACATAGCATCTAAGGTTGCTTTCGCACAAGATGCCAGGCTGATTAGTTAGGACAGCTGGCACACAGCTTGCAAGGCCTAATGTATTTACTACCTGGTCCTCTAGAGGATGAATCTGTAAAGCCTTATATGGAGCATTCTGACACGGGAGTGGGACAATTACTAAACGGAAGGTGGTCTGAACAGAAAGTGCGCAGAAAGGGTCTGGACCGTTTTCCACTCTGCAAGCGCTCATCTGGTAAGAGAAATGGTAGATGGCAATAAGAAATACTTTCAGATTCAAGTCATGTCAGCAGTGACCTGTTAATAGCTTGATCACTTTCGAAATGGGTATGAAAAATACATAAGAAACATTGTGAAACTTACACAAGACAGCATTTCAACACAGAACCAACCTAAAAATTCAATGGCTATGATATGGAATACCTAAATATCAGCTGAAGATTCCTAGGGTATATGGGACAGGTGGGTATTTCCTCTGGGGAAATAAAACTAAAAACAAAAAATCTTTGTAAATTCCTCCACCCCTGACTTCATGGAGAAGCTTCCTCTGATTTATCAGTTGCGATTCCCACCCTCAAATCAGCAGCTGCTTTGACTGCAGCCGCATTAGCCTGCTACATCCACCAGCATCCAGCACCGAGCGCCACTTCCGGGAGATGGAGAGCTTGGA